ATGCGCATGTGCATGTGCATGCGCATTGCTTCCAATCTCTTTGTAAACATGACATTTCTTCATGTAACACCAGGATAACAGTTACCTCCAGCACGGAAAAGCGAGTCAGCCTGGCAAACGGGCCAGCGGGCGAGCCCGGCTCATGTAATCAGCACCTAACAGTTAAATCTTCATCTCTTCCATCTCTTCTCTCCCTAGTATAAGCGAAAGGTTTTTTATTTTTCAAATCCGTGATGTGAGAATCGCGGGGTGGTGCTGCGCCTGACAATGGACCTCTGGTCCTAAGGATCTGGGAAAAGAAACATTCTTTAAGTTTAGTCTCGAAAAGAGAATGCTCTTTCCTTCTTTATGTGTACATTCTGGAAGAACTTTATTATGTGAACGGGCGGCTAAACACATTAGTTTGGGTCACTCAGGTTTTGTGCGGGTTAGGTACTGTTTTTGCGGACGTAATTGCCATGAATGTTTCAGGGTTTAGCAGCGCAAGAAACAAATGATTTCTTTTAATTGAATCAGGTCAAATACACTTTGCTTCCCAGGTGGCAATTTTTTCTTCGGAAACAGGTGTTTCATAGTTAAGGCATCTTCAGAAAATTGATGTCTTCACAACAAGTTTTTCCTAGCTTAGCCAGATACGAAGCAGGTTAATAAGGAAGAAACTATTTTTTTTCTCTACAGGATCGTTCAGACACTGAAATGGCCAGATTGCCAAACCGGCCTCCCTCGGTTTGCGCGCTGTCACCCCAAGAACTCTCATACGAAACAGTTGATGTTGACAAAGTTTACATCCCAACTCATGCGCTTTTGATCGCCGAAAACGAGTTGATATTTCTTGCGATCGCGAGCATTTTGAAAGATCGAAAGGCTGTGCTGATTGCAGGGGCCGGGTATATCTACTTCGGAAAAATCAATTTCCGCCTTGTGTTTTTACTCAAAGCTCGAGGCGAGCCATCTGCAGTTGTCCAGGCCATCAAATTACTCAAACCAAAAGCTGGAATCTTTCTCGGGTTCGGGAAATGTCCTCATAGCAGGACGTACGAGATCGGGGACGTGATTGTGGCAGAAGCGATAGTTCGAAAGAACCCCAAACTTGGAAAACCTGAAAGCCTAGCGTGCAGTGAATGTTTGATCAACGTTTTCGAAAATGGCAAATATGGCTGGACACCGCCCAAGTACCGCAAACAAGCTGTCCATGTTGGCAAAGTATTTCAGATGGGAGATCTCACAAAGAATGAGAAAACCAGTGCAGTAGCTGTGAAAACTTCGACGTTAGGTCAGTATAGTGCTCACAAACATAGACTTTAACATAAAAGGCATCGCTCACTAGCTTGCGCACCATTCGAGAATGAAAAAATAAACTAACAGACTGTGACGATCGTAACAAACATTTAACAATTTATCGGAACACCGGTAGAAAATGACACTGATTGTTACAAACTTTAATTTTTTACGGTTGACTTTTTTGCGACTGAAAGTTACATTTTGGAGGTTTAACTGCCAAAGGATCCCCATTGAAGACCATCCGTGACGGACATAATTTCTGTTTTATGTCATTACTTTACTGTTTACGTCCGTGTCACAGTCGACAGAACATTACAGTCATTACATTGGCGGGGCAAACAATCCCGTCAGCTTCACTCATGTTCTTTAAGAACCATTAATACAACCCTTTGTTAAGACCTTGTCGGTATGCTATTGCAATGTTACAATCTACGCCTATATAAATACCCTTTTCGAGGAACAACAACAACAACAATCGCTAATCATAATCGACCAGGCTAATGAAAGTCTTAGCGCAGGATTCAGCTGGGATATTTCGGTTTTATACGTTCATTGACAATTTTGTTACTTAAGGTTCATGGAGTTTTTGAAGAAGCTGTGAACCCCATAAAATGGAAGCGTGAAGATGATGCAAAATAGCTTCATTTATAAAGTTGACATGTTCTTTTCGCAGATATACTTGAATGCTGCGAAGTCCTGGGAAAAGAATGGATCTCAATTGTAGGCGTGATTGGCACTCAGCGTTACCATGGAAACTCTACTTGGAAGCAATACGTAGCAGCGGTCTTGAGCTCACTGGTGAATAAGGTGCTACAGGATGACCAAGTGTTTGCAATCTTAGGAGGAGAGTGTGGGGAGCCCACACGACACAGTCCCCTCCCTGGAAACCCTCTGCAAGAAACAGTTTCTCTTAAAAGTAAGCTGGGATCATTAAATGGGTGTCAGCTCAACCTCTTTCCCAGGGTCTGGTTGCTGCTACTCTCCTTTTTTCCCAACCTCTTTTTATGATTAATATTTGTTTGACTCCCTGGATATTTGCGATAAGTAATTACTAAGGAAGAGTTTGATAAAGGATCTTTGTTGAACTCACGGTCTTATTAGCTGTTCTCGTAAATAGCTTCCTTCTGAAATTAATGCCTTCCGGCTTTGGAAGGCTACGAACGTTTAGCAAAGTTAGTTGATAGTGATTTCTTGAAAACAGTTAGCAGAAAATAATCGTTTTTGAGTCATAAGCCAGGACTTTAAAGAAGATGACACTGT